CCAGGCTGGCCTCGAACTCACAGAGATCCACCTGGCTCTGCCTCCCGAGTGCTGGGATTAAAGGTGTGCGCCACCACCGCCCGGCCTATGAACTATTTTTCCACTGATTGTAAAACAGCACTGATTATCCAATTATAAAGTCAATAAAAAATTGTCTACACAGTAACCGTGGAATAATCTTTTGGGGGTCCCTTCCCATCAATGCACGCTCCTTAGATTCACTGACACCATTTTGTCTGCTGAGGCAAATCAAACAGTTGAGTGATGGTAGCAAAAGAGAATTTGATAAATTGTTCAAGGAAAAAAATCATAGCAATAATGGGGTGACAGCCATCTTCATGTCACTGTGAGCATCATTTCATTGTGCCTGTTGTCATAGAAACAAGCAGGTACACTTCTTTTTTTTAAAACTAGCATTTGTTTGAATGCAAATTCAACAAAATTATATGTTGTAAGCGTGCTAAAAATTCTGGCCGATCTGCATATGGATCTGCTTGAATGCCTCTCCGCAGCCCTGACAGGAGTCTGAGCCCAGGAGCTGTCAGCGATGATCGCCACCAGCCCTCTTGCTGACCCCACAGCCTCACACTGCTGCTACCCACACCCTCCAAAAGTTGGTATTGAAATGCAAAACAACAATAACAATAATAATCATCATCATCATCTAAATCAAAGTGAAGAAAGCCAAAAGAAAAATGTTGCATTTAGTGTCTGTTTTATTGTAAAAACATAAAGTTGCAGAAATCCATGGCTCAGCTTCTACGGAGGTGTTTTATAGTCAAGTCAGGAAGGGTCGATTTTCTTTTCCTCCACGATGAAAATATTTCATATTTGGGTCCCTCTAACCATGTTTGGACATTGCTTTTGCAGATTCTAATCTAAGAATATCAGGACTTTTTACTGGAAAAGCTACTCTTTGAAGTTCATTTTAAGACCCAAGAGTCTGCCCTGCCTGCCTGTCCCCAAAGCCACCGGCTGCTACTAGACAAACAGAAAATGATAGCGAGTTTCTTCCTCTCTAATCCCACCAGACATTTATCTTTGTGTGATAAGTAACTTCAGCATGAAAACAACAGGGAAGATGATAATTCAAAGGAAGACCCCATTAATCTCTCTGACTTAGTAACCAGGCTGTCCTAGGCTGAACACTGATCTAAATGCAGCTACAGTACGGATGTGTGGATATGCCATAAATCAAGGTTCTGGCAATCAGCTATTTGCAAGTAGAGCAGGTTGGCTCATTTTTCTGCAAATCCAAAGGGAAAATGTCAAATGTTTGAATTGGGTCTAAATGACTCAGTATGTTTTCTGGGTACCAAACCAGTCTTTCTCATTCCTGCCTAGTTTCTACATATAGGAAGGAGAGTAGTCCCAGGTTCCTCAAAGCAGGGCTTGGGTGGCATCCCAGGAGGGGCTCTTCCTTTCCTGAGACCTCAGTGCTCACGAGGCATGGTTCACTTGCCTTATGTGAGTGCCTGGTTTGCTGCTGCAGCAGATGATCAGTGTGGTGCCAGCTTGTGTCCCCTCTCTCAGGATCAGACTCGTGTGAAACAGATGCCGCCATGCTATGAAAGCTAAGCAGTTGCCCCTAAAGAAGCAGGGACTCTCACAACAGTGGATGGTGACATTTGAGTCTCGATTACCAGCGTTGGTGAATGCTTGTTCCCTGAGAGCTGTTAACATACTTAGATGATTTGAAGATAAAAGAAATTAGATTGTCTGCTATAGATAAGAATACGGGTGCTGGGTTTGGTTGGTTTTTTTTGGGGGGGTTATTTTCTACCTTCTAAAAGTACACTAAAGCATTGGTGTTTGAAAAGCGCTAACAGCATTGTTTTCTAAACTTGACAGCAGTACATGGTCTCCCATCCTTCTGTTCATTCTGACTTCCCCCATCCCTTCACTAATCTGCCTCTCCTTTCTGTTTGCCTTGCCATCATTCTGATCTAACCTTCTCATAACCACATTTCACTTGAGCCATTTCATTTTGTCAATTATCTTCCGAAAAATCCAGGTTTGGTAATTATGTCCATCCTCAATGGCTCTCCTGTCAAATTAATACTGTTCTCCTGCTGAACCTGTTAAGGATGCCAGTGTTCAAAGTAGAATAAGCATCCCAGTTTTTCTTTTTAGAGTTAGCCACTGTTAGAACTGGAGGCAAGTTCAAATGTTTGTAAGTCAGAAACTGCAGTGCAGTTTTATTTATCAATTTAGATGGACGTCATTTAGTGTTAGCAAAAGCATGTTCGATTGTAATTGCACACACCCTGTGAAGTCACCAGCTTCCATAATGCAAAAATAAATACAAGACACTTTCATGATTGATATGCAAAGTTAATCTCATGAGAACTCTCTAACAAAAAAATTAGAGGAATGTTTGTATTACATCTTTCCAAACATGGACAAAAAGCCTTGGGAGACATGTGAACAAAGATCAGTGAATTTTGTTTGCATAAGGCTTTAAACTACATAATGATGAAAGACATGAAAAAAGTCTCAGTGTCAACAGAATGCTTGGAGTGATCGTTTCCAACACTCATGGCATAAGATGGGCTGATAGCTATGGTCTATACAGATTTAAGACAGATTGATGAGCATAATACAAAGAGCCCATCAGAGGGAGACATGCAATGAGGAAGAGGATGCAGCTCAGAAGGAACTCTAACCAGCCTAGAAGCATGTGATAGCATCTTTACTAAATGTAAATAATAATTGGAGAAACTTAAATAGGAAATAAATTTGTTTAATTTTGTATAATCTCAATTAAATGTTTATCTGGCTTTATATGATTTCTATAATGTATAACTTGACCAATGGCATGGAGAAATGCGGACATATATAGACTGTTGGTGGAAAATATATGCTGCCTTTTCCGTAGGCAATGTGAGACTGCCTACAACAATTTAAACTTGGATATTGTACCTATTTCTAAAGATCTATCAGTGAATAATACTCCCAAATGCATAACATATAGATACCGCATCTCACTAATTTTTTCTCTCAGTTGTCTGTAGTTAATTCTAGACCTATGGCCAAGAGATTTACACATCTATAGGTTTGTAGTCAGTATGTATAAGATCTCGGAAGAAGATTTAAAAAACCACGAAATGAAGCTCACCTTCTCTGCCTGAGAACTGTGAAAAAAATTTAATCTGTGCCATTCCCAGACTCTCAGTTGCATGTGAGACTTGCACAGAAAGTTAAGTTTGACACAGAGTAAAGCAGAATAGTCCCAAGGTTGCCTGCTGGTGGGGCCAGTCATATGTTAAGGGTTGAAATATCTCAAGATCATGAGCCTGGATAACTGAGTGCACTTAGTTACCATTGTCTGAGCTTGGTAACCCTGAAGAAGAGCTGGGAATTGAGGAGCCATGTTAGGAAGCTTAGCTTCAATGTTAAGTACCTGGTCAAGTTGTAACTGTAATAAATAATGCTTTCAGAATAAATGTAAGTACAAAAGTATTCAAAGTAAAGCAACCTTCCCACTTTTTCTTCTAAGTGGTAACTACTAGGTGCTAGAGATAGCCCAGTGGTTAAGAGCACTGCTTTTTCTTCCAGAGGAGCTGAGTTCAATTCCTAGTACCCACAAGGTAGCTCACAACCATCTGGGACTCCCATCCCCAAACTGATGCCCTCTTCCAGATTCTGTGGGCACTGCATGCATGTGGTGCATGGACATATAATCAAACACTCATGCGTTACACACAGAATAAAAATAAATAACTCTTCAAGAAATCAAAGAAACTACAGCTACCCCTGGATCTCATCCCAATTATTATTTATTAGTAGTACTTCTTCTTGCATTTTTTTCTCCTGGATTTAATGGGCCATGGTCCTCAGGGTTTGGTTTTCCTCCAAGAGCCTTCTGAATTTTTCACACCACTCTACTTTTTGCTCATGTGCCCCTGCCCTCCTCCAGCACTCACCCAACCCCCTCCTATAGTATACTCCTGCTGTTCTTTTAGTATTTCCTTCAAATACTGTAGTTGCCTGTGAAGTACCTTGGCCCTTCTCACCCCTGAAATCAAATTTAATTATCCATTCCTTTGTGTTCACAGAGTAAATTGCTCAGACCCCAATTAAAGACCTGTATTTTATGCTGGCTGCAATTACCATCAACTCATGCTCCCTATAAGATTTCAGCCCCCTAAAAGGCTATTCCATTTGGCTCTCTGTGAAACTGGCACCGTAGAGTTGGAGCCTTTAAGGAGAAAAGGGGAAGATAATTTTAGAAGATTCCAGGCACTTAACTGCAATCAGAAATCATCCAATATAAGCAAGTGCCCATTCCATCTCACCAGTTTAACACCTTTCATCCCCACCACTTCATTCAGGTGTCACTTTGCTTTTGTCTGGGGGCATCCCATAAAATTACTGGGACCCACCAGAGGGCAATCGGTGTTCTTTATAGTGGCTTCATTAAAACGTTTTCTGCCCTCAGCCAGCAATGTAGTCCTGGTGTAAGAGCTTGCCCAAACTTTTCTTCTGGGAGTCCTCCCTCTGCTTTCTCTACTGCCTAGTGCCTAATAGGTACTTAGTATGTACTAGCTGAATGACCAGCTGAAAGTATGAAATGCTGGAAGGAAGTATTATGTTCTGGCCTAAGCCTGGTGGGATACTGTAGTACATTGAATAATGATGCCCAGGCCAACAACCGCTCACTGCTTGCAACTTCGGTGGCAGGAGGCAGTTGTGGAGTTGGCCACCTCCTAGTCCTGGGGAGCTTTGTAATTTCTGATGTTCAGAGTCCTGTAAGTTTAGGGGATAGGACATATGAACTTTCTGACCCTTAATGCATATTTTTGTCTTCAGAAGTAGATAGGATAATTCATAATTTCAAGGAAGGTATGAATTAGAATTTACTTGTATTTTATAAAGAAAGAGGAGCAGGGTCTGTAATTTTTACCAAATTATTAAAGGGTTGAAGCTAAAACACAGTTACAAATCCCCTATCTGACTCAGTTTGGTGTAGCTGGAAGTTTTCCTGTGCCCCGCCCAGTCTTGCAGCCACTCAGAAATAAACACACAGAGGCTTATATTATTTACAAACCATATAGTCTATGGCAGGCCTCTTGCTAGCTAGCTCTTATATCTTAAATTAACCTGCAACTATTAATCTATGTATCACAACATGTTCTGTGGCTTTACCTGCATCCCATTACATGTTGCTCCTTGGGCGGCTATCTTGAGTCTCTTCCCTTCTGCCTTTCTTCTTCCAGTCTACCTGCTTGTATTTCCTGCCTGCCTCTAAGCTGCCCTGTCATAGGCCAAACGGCTTTATTTATTAACCAATCAGAGCAACATATATTCACAGTGTACAGAAAGACATCCCACAGCAGTTTGGGGCCACCTGGCGGTGGTCACTGAGCCCCTTGGTGAAGGCTTTGCTTAGTATGTGCTAGTAGAGCCAGGACCCTGCTTTGCCAGGATATGAATGCTCACATGCTCTCAGGCACACCTCTGTGCTCTCCAGTAGTCTCTTTTGGAAAATATACCAAGTACCAAATGGTGACAGATCACAGTGGGACCCGAAAGAACATTAAAACATCACTCGGTCCTCCAAAAGGCAATGCGATTACAGGAAATGTTCCTCTGCCTATGACATATTTAAATCATGGTTTAAAACTAAACAGGAGGTTCACAGCATCCAAGACTTGTCACCATGTAAGGCTTATGGGCCACCCTCAACAGATGGCTTTGGCTGCTCTGTGATTAGAAAACAAGACTTAGGACACTTAACAAATATTCAGATTTGAGGTTCTGGCCTGAGGCACAGATAGACACAATTCTTAACTAATGTTACCTGAATTCTCATTAGAATCGTCGTCCCCTGTACCATCTTCATATCTATTCCCCAATTTCTATCCCAGCCTAGACCTCTCTCATACCCTACTTCTGTCATGTCCACAAGAGCATTTCAAATGTCCACATTCATCCTTAAATGCATCCTCATCCATCCCGTTCCCTTTCAGTGAGGGAGATGATCCTTTGACCAAATGGGGTGGCTCCTCGGCTCCACCATGCTGGCAGTCCATCACTGTCTGCTGTCTAATTTGTTCCTGTTACCATTCTCTTCTTTTCTTGATGCCTCCCACTCCTGCTTTAGTCTGAGACATTGACTATATTCTATCACCCACACCACAGCTTTAGCCACTGGATCCTACAACACTTCCAAGTGGTTTCTCTACTCCCCTTATTAGCCCCTACAATAAAATTAAAGTCCTACCTGCCCGTCAAGAGGGTATTTTTATTAAACCAATCAAATTGTTTTGTTTCCATACCCAAAATATTCAGTTTCCTTGTTGTATATATCCAAGTCCTTCATCTCAATGTACAGAATCAAGCACAAAGGAGCCCATGCCCCTACCCCCCTAACCTCCAGAGACCTCACAGGCCTTCTGTCTATTCATTCTTTGGGTTCCCAGCACTCCTGCTACAGGACTTAAGTCAGGTTCTACCCCCAAATTCAGGGCCCAACTGTTTCTTTATAGAGTTCGGATCCTCTCAGGTTTCTCAGCATCTCTTTCCTCGGGAATTTTGAAAGGTTTTGGGGAACTTTCTCCCTGACAAAGCTTCTGATATTAGCATTGTGTTTGTTTCTTCCATAGTTAGTGTTTTTAGCTGGTATGTTTTTATCGTTGAGTTCCTCAGTTCTACCACACCCAGTCCTAAAATCAGTTTCCGGTCCATCTGCTAGCCACAGCACATCATTCAATCACCATTCACGAAACCAGCAGGTGGGGATGTGTAGAGAACCCAGCACAGAGGCAACTCAGTCCTGTTCTAGGCAGGTTAGCAAGAACAGTGTCCAAAAGGCCCTGTAAGTATCCTTGGGACCCTGCAGACATGTCACCTCACAGAACAGAGGACAGCATGATTGTCATGTCTTCAGAAGTGCAGCTGGATAGGCAGGTGACCACAGAACTGAGGGAAGAAGCAAAGGGTCTGGGATTTTTCACATTTGCTTTGCTGAAGTCTAGATGGTAGAGTTTACAGGAAGATGAACTTGTCCTTTGTACACTGTACTCATCCCTATAATTACATTCATCATAACTGAGATTGCCATTATGTACCACTCTGCTTACCCTATACAGGGTAATCACAGCATCTGAGTTACCAAGGAGAACCCCTAGAACACAGTGCTGGGCATGGTCGGAAGCACCCTACAAATGTTTCAAGTCTGTAAATGAATGAATAGATGAATGTTGGGGAGCAGATAGACCTGCCACCTTCCACTCTGGAGGGTTCAGGATGAAGAGCTAAGCTAGGAGGCAGGTGCAGAGGAGGCTCCACCACAGTCCTCCCGAGCTGCTGGGAGTGGAGCTGGTTTCTTGCCTTCTCAAAGTCCTCAGCCTCTGAAGAGCCATCAGGGAGAGGGTTAACAACAGAACTGCCTGACTTTGGTGGCACCACCCACTGCAGTGATTAATACACATGGCAAACATTCCCTTGCCATAGCTCAGGTGACTCGATCTAAATATTCTTTCAAAGAGGTCTTCTTAATTATAATGACATGGTGTAAATATAAGGAAAAAAAAGAATGTCAATTATCACTCCGCATAATAACAGTGTTAGTGTTCTTGCACATAAATTACAAGTAGGTTTACCTATTTAGAAGCGTGAAAAGTGCTCAGTTTTGCAATTTAAAACTTCTGAATATGCCACATTTAAAAATTATGTCATTACAACCAGTAGAAGTTAGTAATCACCACTAAAGTGTGTGCTCTTGAGTAACTGATGAACTATCATACTGAAATCCTTTTTTAAAATCACTTGAAAAGGCAAAATTTAAAGGCACCTATGTTCCGTTTATTTTCAAACATTCCAGCCTCATCCAGAGCGCGAATGTCTATTCCATGGCAAGTGTTGTAAAAATACCTAGAGTCATATTCACTGGGGGACAGCTGCTAGTCACTCATAGCAATTTAAATCTCAATTTTATTTGATTAAAAGTAAATGAAATTTTCAATTCCTAGTGTCAGTAGCCGTATTTCACATTCTCAATGGCCCCATATAGCATGTGGCCACTCTGTTAATAGGGAACAGAACATTTCCACCATGACAGACAGTTCTGTTGGACAATATTGCTCTGAAAAATGTCAATGACTCTGACCCATAATAGCTGTCCATTTGCAGCACCAAGACTTACTGGCATGCATCTCAGATTTATTTTTGGAGCAGACATTGACAGTCACATGGATGGAAATACTTCAATGGGGCCTTGTTTGGGAAATACAAGTATCCTATTCATGGCCAAATCAGATAATGGCCAAAGATTAGAGATGAGGCCTCTATTCTTGCCAATGCCTATCAGTCTGAGCCAGTTGCCAATTTGGATATGTTGTATTTTTTTTTTTTCTAAATCAGCTCTTAGGACACATCGAAATCAAACAATTCCACTGTATCAGATTATGCTGGACCCATCGTTCATGTTCTAACCTATTGACTTTAAGCCCCTCCCTCTAGACAGGTAACAACTCAGAAGCTCGGGCTGAGTTGCTATGGGTCTTCATTGGAAGCAACTAGGGAAGAACTTATCCGGACAAGTCCGACAATGCCCCCATCAGAAGACTTGTCGGATAAAGATGAGATTGACATCCAGCTTCTCGAGAGTCACCATCCTGTTCTTATTCCTTGGCAGATCACCTACAAGGCAGTCAGTTCCTTTGACCCGGAAATAGATCTATCCAACCAAAGCGGAAGAGTCTCAAAACTAGGAAATGAAACCCATTTTCTCTTCTTTGGCCTGTATCCTGGAACCACATACTCCTTCACCATCAGAGCCAGCACAGTGAAGGGATTCGGACCTCCGGCAACAAACCAGTTCACCACCAAAATATCAGGTATTGAACAGTGACGACTTAATGCCTTTCATCAGAAGTGGCATTTTGTGCCTTTTGTTGTTACTGTCAAAAAGGCAAAGATGAAACTTAATGATAAATTTTATTATCACAGCTCTGGGTGCCTAAAACAGACTCGGAGGCTAAAATAAAATGCTATGTGCATTTAGCATTTGAGGGCTTGGCCCTCCTGTATTAGTGCATGGCCAGTGTTTTAGCAGTTTGCCTTGAAGGACTGGATTATAAGGCAGAAGTTTCTGGTGAGGTCCTCTAGTCCCCTCGGCAACCCTGGGTCACCAGAGCAGCTGTGTTGGAGAAACTCTGATGTAAACCATGAACTAGGCAGAAACAGTGTCTGTGTTCTGCTGTCCATAGGATCTATATTGTTGGTGGTTTTCCATCCTGCATAGAGATGGAAATAGATAGCATCCAACACTCGGGGCTCCAGCTGTTTACAGACCCAGTTCCATCACCCAGCAAAAGACACAATTTGAAGACTAGATCTGGCATGTGCATCTGTGCAGAAAATGCCTGTGTTCCTCAGACAGGAGGAAATGAAGTTGCCATCTGGTATAGGATGTGTAACCACAATAAACAGAATTCCATGAACATTATCTTTTTTTCTTCCTCCCTTGGCTATGAGTGGCGAAATATTTGGATTTGGCCTTAAACTTTTTGTAATGTGTTTTGTTAGTCATTCTTCTGTCACTGTGACAAAATACTGGACAGAGAAAGGGAAAGAGAGAGTGGTGGATTTTATTTTGGCTCACAGTTTGGAGGTCTCAGGCTGTGATTGTTGGCCTCATTGCTCTGGGCCTGAGAAGATACTGGGCATCCTAGGGAGAAGTATATGATAGAACATAGCTGTGCATCCCATGGTGACTGGGAATCAGAGAGAATAAAGGGGAGATGCTGGGACAAAATGGACCCTTCCAAACCTCTCCCTCTGTGACTTCTCAGTCTGAAAAGGCTTGCTGCTGCCTCCTAGTAGTCCATTCAGATTTGAACTCATTCGTCAATTGATAAAATTTGCAGGCTCTACTCAGAACTCAGTAGTACCATATACCAAGAACCAAACTTTCAACATTTCAGCCTTCTGGTGACTTTTTTATATCTAAGCCATAATAGCTATGAAGACGTAGGGCACAGCAGACAGGTTAACCAGCTCCAGGGCTACTTCAGTCATAGTCACCATGATTTCTATACATATTACCCTTCATCGTTGGCTTTGTAAAAGGTTTTGTTTGAAACAGAAGGAAATCAGTGTCCAAAATAGAGTATTTTAAATGTCCGAGTAGGCTTTGAAGGGAAAGGAGTTTTTAAGAAATTATAACTTGAGGGATATTTTATACACCATGAGGTGTTTTTGTGCACAGATCTGACTCGAAGTTTAATATACATGATATAAGGACAGTGCAGAGAAAATAAGTTTTCCTGTGAGGTTAAAAATGGCATAGGTGGACAAACATATTCATAGAGTGTCATTGGGATTGGCTAAGAAAGTCTGCATGCTGGGATGATTTAATGTATTTTCTCTGATCTTAAGTGAATATATCCCTATTAATATGATACTACCTATTGTATCAGTTTCTCATGGTGACTCAATGAGGAAACATATGCCAATATGTATTACTTCTGAGTAAGTTTTATTATTTTTCCCCAGTAGAGATCATATTTCTATGAGTATTATTATAAGGAGAAGTTCCATCAGAAAAATAATTAAGCTTTCCCATGTATTATATAAAAATTCCAATGAATATGAGTCTGGCCACCTCAAGTTCATATAATTCTATCCCAAAGCAAAGAAACTTGACATTTCAGTTGCCCTATACAAGCTCATCAAAAGTAATGATTGACTTTTATGGTATTTAAACCACACTCCTATGCTCCCAGCTACTTGGGAGGCCTTGGCAGGATGGTTTAAGCCTGGGATTTCAGGGCCAGCCTCAGCAAACAGAGCAAGATCCCAGTTCAGGGCAGAGGAGATTGGAATGGTGTTAGGTTATAGTTCCTGAGCCCTGTTCTCTGTTTTTATGAACCTAAGAGAGAGCGAGAGAGCTATGCTTGCATCCAACACACAATTGCATGTTGTGAAGCAGAGTTAATTCTTAGTGGAATTAGAGTTGATTTTGAATGCTTAGGAAAACTTAACACATGTAGCTGATAAATAACTCACCATTTTCACATAAAAGCTTTTTCCTGTGTAAGACAACTGAGAAGTCTGCTCACAGAAGGGGATCTCTAGCTGTCACATGGGGCACCTCTGCCCACATGTGGTTGAGACTGGTGGGCTCCCTCGTCGTCGTTCCCTGCCAAGGGGAGTCTGCGAATCTGTCTGGAGGGGAATTACTGAAGTGTACAGTTGCTAAGCTATGCTGAGACACCCGTTTCTAGAAAAGAGAGATTGTCAGAAATGACTAAGGAGAGTACATTACTGAGAACTGTTGATAGTTGGTAGCTGGGGAGGGAAGAATCATTTATTTTTTTTTTAGCCTGTGGCCATCAATAGATTTCCTGTGCTCTTGTGGATGGGCCTACACCCATACATGTATGGCCAGCACTAACTGAACTTAGTAGGTTGCTGTGAAGGAGGAGGAGGAGGAAAAGGAGGAGGAGAAAAAGGAGGAAGGAAGGAAAAAAGAACATGAAGTTGGGAAAGAAAGAAGGAGAAAAGGGAGGGAGGAAGGGATGGAGGGAGGGAGGGGAAAAGGCGACATGAAGTTGGGAAGGATTTGTGAGGAGTTGGAGAGGGAAATACTGAAGTAGATATGGCCATGTTTCATTATATAAAAGTGTGAAGTTCTCAAGAATAAGAAAAAAAAAACTCTTCAAACATTTTTCCTGTTAGGAAGAACTCAAAAGTTTGTGGACTGTCTGGAGATCTGTCCTTTTGAACTGTCATAATTAGTTACCCCTATTTTAAGAGATGCCAAACTAAAGCTTCCGATGGAATTAATGTACTTCCTTTTCCTTCTCTATTTTTTTTTTTAACTCAAAGTCTGTGTAGCACAGGGTGGCCTCAAATTCACTATAGAGCTGAAGATGGCCATGATCCTCTTGCCTCTGCCGGATTACAGGCCTGTGTCACTGTGCCCCATTTTTGTGATGCTGGGGATTGAACTTGGTACTTTGTGTATGATAGGCAAGCATTCTACCTACTGAATTACAACTGTAGAAATTGAACCCTGAGAGAAAGTCAGGCCCAAGCTGTTTGTTCTGCCTTCGTTTCTCATGCGTTTCCCACTGCCACACTTTTCCCAAGAGTCCACAAGTCATCACTAATTCATTGCAACAAGTCCCTCTGGCTCCCAGCATCCTCTTTAAACCCTTGGATGGGTCTTTGGGACATGGAAAAACTCGACTTTAGTGGGAGAACCATGGCATTCGGTTTTATGGTGCTGGTGACTACACCAAAGCTTCCATATGTGCCTTTAAGGCACATTGTATATTTCCATCACAGTACACATATTCCAAGATGGTTTGTTGATTTAAATTAAAATAAATAAACAGCCTGCAAACAGGTAACCAGAACAGGAATGGAAAAATTGAGGCTCACTAACATGTCATCAGTCCCTTGTGCCCCTTCCCATCTGCAGCTTGGGTTGTATGACTTGAGCAAAATGTCCCTGTCACTTTGTGTCTGGACTCTATGGATGTAAACCTCCGGTGTGATCGATTGATAGCTATGATTTGATCTGTGTCCTTTGTAAAAAGAAGGGGAAAATCACTAAAAGAGCTAATGAGTCTCCCATCTAATCTCTTTTCCTAGCACCATCCATGCCAGCGTATGAATTTGAGACACCTTTGAATCAGACTGATAACACGGTAACAGTGATGTTGAAACCTGCCCAAAGCAGAGGGGCACCTGTCAGGTAAGGAACAGAGGGAGGGCCACGCAGGCTCGAAGAGAAGGAAGCTCCCGTCATGTTCACTGATTTTTCCAGTGTTTTCTAGGCTTTTCCATGCTGTTTCCTCTTTAGTTCTCCTTAAAAGAAACGACCGCGGAGGATGAAGGGGCCTCCCTGGAAGGTGTAGAAATACTGGGTGGTCTTTGGATGGTGGGGAAAAGCTCCAGCCTCCTGGCCAGGTGGCTTGACTCTCAATGGTAATATAATAGCCTACTGTGGTTCAGGCACCCAGGGGCAGAGGACATGTCTTCCTGAGCTTTAAATGGCTGTTTTTTTTTTTTTTAAATATATTTAATTGACCCATTTCTCAAGTGTATATTTAATGTATGATTTTTTGAAAGGAAAGAAAATTATTAGGAAAAATCATAAAGTCTTTATTTGGAATTAAGATTATTACCAACATCTAGGCCCAATTAGTCATTCCATTATGTTTTATGTAAATAAGAAACTACAAAGTAGGACCCTCACAGTAAATGAATAAAAAAAAAGTCATTTATTCTTCCGAGGAAAGATACAAAATAATTCCAGGAGTGAACCTGTCCTTTGATCATGGGTCTCTATAGATGTAATGTCTTCTCCTCACTTCAGTGGGATTTGGAGATTTTACCTCTCCCTATCTGAGCAGATACCATGCCATCAATCTCTTATTCTGGATAGAATACCCCCCCCCCATTGAAGCATCTCCATCCATAGTACAGGCTATGTGCAGTTTGTCTCTGGGCTCCTTTTGGAGAAATTGATCTGATAAGCCTTTTAAAACCTGACTATATGTGATCACATTTCTGCTTCCATATTACAAAGCAAATAGTTGGACTTTGTTCTGCTTGGCAATGCACACACAGGTCTATGGAGACAAAGGTCACAATGAGAATAGTATTAGTTGATTAGGGTAGAATTATGGAAGTTTATGTTCAAAACAGCTTGAGAATTCTGTAAAAACAATTGGTGTTCTATTCTGTTGAATTACATGTCATAATCCCTCTTTGAGTCCTTTATGCTAATTCAAAGGAACGGTTAGCTCATACAGTGAATGCAGACACACTCTCCTCAGCATGTATGCTGTTGCCACCGAGAAGGGTGACTTGACGCTCTATGGCTCCCTGAGCTGATTTTTGCACAGGGTGGAGGTCTGATAATTTGATGGGCCCAAAGCACGCATTCTCAGGTACTGCCCAGGACACATGTGTTCTTATAACCATGGGTCAGGCATTTTTCATTTCAAAAAGCTGGATTTCCATTAAATGAAAATGTATGCTCTGACCTCAGCCTTGGGAGCATCACTTATTCGGACCAAGCTAATGATTTTTCCAGACTCAGCATTAATGAGCATAGTATTGTTCATTCTGTGAAGTATCACGGTCAGAGGGTCAGTGGTCACCAAGGTTCATGCCCACAAATGGAAAGAAGCAAGGATGCTAAGGGTCCTTCCAAAGCAGCTATCGCTGTTCCCTTGTGTCCTACAAAGGCCTTTTACACATTTCCCATTATTGCTTTCTACCTTCAAACCTCTCACTCAGATTCCTACCCACATCACCACATGGATCTTTCCAAATCTATGCTTTGAAGTAGTTTCTCTTTGATCCTATCTTTTTCTTTTCTATTTTCTATTATTTCCCTCACTAAGTTCTTGTTCTATTCTTTATTTTTATATATTTGTTCTGCTTTTGGAGACCTTAATGATTAGTTCTAGATAAACATATGCCTTCTATTCTTATGTCTGTTAACACACACACACACACACACACACACACACACACACACACACACACACGAATACTTATCAGAGTCCAACACACAGCTTATCCCTCAGACCTCATGTCACCTTCATGAAACCCATCTCTGTGACATACAGGAACATTTGGGTTTCCACAGTGGTTCTCAAAATCATCAAGTTCAAAAGTGCTCTGACCACTGTGGAAACCTAAATCGTCTCTCCAAATTGACTGGGAGGATGCTGTCTTCAAAGGGGCAGATTGTCTTGGCACATATTTGAAAGAGGAAATGATCGCAGCCTCACCTGTCAAGGTTTTATTCTTTGTTCTTTTATAACAGCAAATGTTCCCTTCAAGAGACTCATTGTATAGAACAACATAGTGGACTGATTATCCATTGAAAAGAGAGAAGACCCATATATCTGCAAAGACTGCTTTGGAAGAAAATTTCTGCAGTTCCCTCAAAATGAATAGGGTTTGTTAAGCTCTCCATTTCCCTTAATGTTTCGAGAAATAAGAACTCTGATTGAGAAATCATATGGACCCACAATATAAAGCCATTGTGTAGATTAAAACACTGAACACATCTGGAAATTTGCAAAATGCACATGAAATCATCAAACTGCCATGCAAAAATCACCTCCCAAATGGTAAAACAAAAGCTAGAATGAAGAGAGGAAAGGGGGGTGGGTAAACATCTGTTTGCTTTCCTGGGTTTTGAACAGTATTGTGTGTTCAAAAATACTATCATCGTGTGATTTCCAAAGTGCATTCTTTCCATTGATTTGATTTTTCTTGGATCCATATTCATCAGCGTTGGAATTCATTCCTCCTTCGTTTGTGTACTTCACTGGGTGAGTTCATGGAGTATTGATTCCATCAACTCTCAGCTGGTTTAAGACAGATTCCCAAAATTGCACATAGCTCTCCGCATAAATGATGGTTGTCTTTTTATTGACCGACACATCAGCTCTGTCACAGGAAATTATTTAAATCCAGAGATGGCGAAGAACATCCCATCACTCCAGCCAGTAAACTAGCACCCCAGATAGAATTAAAATGTCTATATATGGATTCAATTTTTTCCTCAACCAGACAGGGAATGGCTTAATTTTCTTTTACTTGGTTAGAGTGGTCTCGTTTCTGCCTGCTCTCCATCATTCATTCTGTATAGGCACGATCTAGTAGAAAACAACTCTTGGAATTTGGCAGGAAGGAAGCAACTAAATGAAGGATAACTTGTATGTTTTCTTGTGCTAACAAGAATGCTTTATGGTGTGTGTATGTGTGTGTGTGTGTGTGTATGTCAGTGCACACATATGTGTGTGCATGTATGCATGTGTGTGTACACATGCATGTCTTCATGTTATGGGAAAGTAGGCAGTGAAGGAACTCTATGTACTTTCAGAAAACACTTCCTGAAACTGGTTTGATGTTGGCACTATATGAAGAATGTCTCTCTGACTCCTTCTGCACGCCCACCAGCTAGTCAACAGATGTTGGTATCTGGTAAGGAGAGTCAGCACAAGCATGTCTGTGAACCTGGCTCACCTCAGAGAAGAGGGTCCAGGGCATGGCTATTAAAAGACAAAAGACAGGCAGGCACCTCACTTGAAGATGCTTCCCATGTTAGAATTGATGCTGTTGACATGCAGGTGATGGTGGTTGAAAACTTGAAGGTTGGGAAGTATGAACAGGGTATTTTAAAAACAGTTTTCTAGCAGGAATAGCCCATGTGTGTAGTATGTCTCTCTGCCTGTGGCTCTGAAAGAATCTTTTGTTCCATCAATACTATCTTTTTGGTGCCTGTTTTCATGGGGTTCTTTGGAGGGTTCAGTGAGCTAGCGTGTTATAAAGCACTTCAACCCGTAGTCTGTCCATACTAACTGCCCCATAGTGTCTGTGCCTGTTGTGTGCATCTTCAGAACAATGTTCACAGGCGCTTAGACTGGCCCTGGTTCTCTAGCCCTTTCTTCTGTCTCATTCAATCCTGAAATCAGGAAAAAATAGAATTTTACATAACATTGAACAACTGACCATTGTGTCCATCAGCAAAATTATAAACACGATTTCTGTGATTCTCACTTCTGTGATGCATCATAATATTTGATGGCATGTGGCTCTTTGTGCATGGACAAGTGATTGGGACTTGATCTCATAAGGAACAAGTTCTCTTGTGTGAGACAACTTGCTAAATGGTCTTATTAATAAAAACCTCAGTGTCAGATATTAGGGTAAAAACTGAAAGATCAGAGGAATAAGACAAGCCACAGCCAACCTGACCTTGCCAACTCCTCAGCCTCCAGGGAGAGCTACTTCCTGCATTTTCACACCTATATGCCTTTCTGTCCCTGCCCTCTTACTTCTTCTTTCCACCCGGCTACATCACTTTCCTCTTTCAGCCCAGCTCTGTCACTTCCTGTCTGTCTGTACAGACCTCCAGACCTCTGTGGTTAGTGGTGGGATTTAAAGGCATGTACCACCATGCCTGGCTCTGTTCCCTGCGTGGCCTTAAACTCATAGACATCCAGACAGATCCCTGCCTCTCAAATGCTAGGATTAAAGGCATGTACGACCACTGCCTGACTTCTATGTTTAATATAGTTTTAATATTATGGCTGGCTTTTTCCTCTGATCCTCAGCTAAACTTTACTGGGGTGCACAAATACAATATCACCACACTCTTGACTCCATCTGTACATAGCAGCTCTTAAGGAAAGGCAGTCGCTGTTCCTCTTTCTCCTGGGCCACTATGGAGCTGCAGCTGTCATCTGCTCTGTTACGTGAACTCAGCTCTAGAGCAAGGGAAGCTGTTTCTTGGCCTCTGCAGGACAGTAGACTCTGGATGAGGAGTGCCTGGGAAGAGTGACTCTGGAGCAGCTGGTATTCTTCTCCTCACCATAGTGATTCAGTTCCCTGCTTCTTAAAGATGGGAATGTGTGAATTGCTTTCCACTGAGGCATCTCTTTCTAGTGACATTGAAATCCATTCCCTACATCCTACAGGTTTGTCTTTTCATCAGTCTTGAGTTAAGCTCTAGGTGTGAGGCGCCAGCTAAAGGAGACTCTTAGTGTTTTAGTTCCTACAACTGACTCACCGTAGGTGTGCTTCTCTGGTTGTACTTTCTTGCTGAGTCAGCGGGTCTACAGTCATCCTCACCTGTGGCCACAATTCTCCAAGACGCTCGTTCCGCTTGTGAGATACTTACATGTAGATGAATTTCTAAAAAGTCTTATTAAATAAGAAACACAG